CAAGAGCAATCAGAAAAATAAACTGCAGGTCGAGAGCTAGCTATTGTGTACAGATGAGATGATTAAGAATGACCAGGTCTGGCCCCCCGGTCTTTCTCTAAGGAGACACTGGCCTCAACTAGCATGCACAGTACAATTACCACTAACACAAAAATATAAGAATTAGAACAGGAGTAGATCATTTGGTCCCACGAACCTGCTTCAGTCTTCAGCAAGATCACATAGTGGCCTCAACATCATCTACATATCCCGCCCTCTTAATCCACGACACCCTCGCTGATCAAAATATATTTAAATATGTTTAAGGAGGCTTATTAGTGACCCAACCTCTACTGCTTTCTGGGTGATTGAATTCTGTAGATTTGTGACCCCCTGAGAAACACTAAACTCTTCATCTCAGTCCTAAATTTAAAATTGTCACCCCTCGTTCTAGTCTCCCCCTCATGGGGAACCATCCTCCGCATCCACCCTATCAAGTCCCCTCTGAATCTTAAATATTTCAATGTATAAACTCTTCTGAACACTAATAGCTGTATTAGTGCTCACCTGTTCCTCATTCACTGACCGCTTCATTCCAAGAATCAGTTGAGTCAGCATTCTCTAAACCGCTTCCAATGGAATTATATAATTCGATCAAGGAGATCAGAACTATACACAGAATTAGATTTAGAATTTGCTTTATTGTCACCTATCCTCAAGTACAGGAGTACAGTGAAAAGTTTACAATGTCAACCCACACGGTGCCATCTCAGATACAAAGTACCCAGGTACAAATCTTAGATACAAAGTTGAGAAATAAAAGAAAAAGTTACATTACCTTACAGTTATTCATAGGAGAAGTTAGAAAAGTAAGGAATAAAGTTAAAAAGATAAACATAACAGCCTTTCTATAAAGGGCCTGCAGTAGATCAGTACAGAGAGCTTCTGCACGTGGTCTGGCTGGGCTCACAAGCTGCTGACCACCTAGTCCAATAACCATACCCACCCTGTCTCCACTCCGTTCAGACCCGCAGCACACTGACTGTCCCCGCTCCACTCGGGCCCCCGGCCAGCCGGCCATTCCCGCTATGCTCGGGCCCCCAGCCCGCTGGCCATTCCCGCTACGCTCGGGCCCCCAGCCCATTGGCCATTCCTGCTAAGCTCGGGCCTCCAGCCCGCTCTGCTCCATACCTCCAGCCTGCTCTGCTCCATACCTCCAGCCCACTTTCATCGCTCTTCCAAGATAAGTTTGAGAGATATGCTTAAGATTTGGCCATTTTTACTCTGAGGGTGGTGAATCTTTGGAATTCTCTAACCTAGGGAGCTGTGAAAGTTCAATCTTTAAATATATTTGAAAATTTTTAGATTATCAACGGTTGTGAAAATAGTGTGTGGGAGAAAGGCAATGAAGTGTTTGATCAGTATCGTATTAAAAGCAGAGCAAGCTCGATGGGCTGAATGGCCTGCTCCTGCCCCTAAGTGACACTTTACCAGTAAAGTCAAAGCAATGTCATCAGATCAAACAAAATCTAATTTAATGGAGGAACAGGTTCAAGGAGCTGAATGGCCTTCTCTTATTCATGTCATTTTATGTGAATCTTTCCTAACTCAAAGACAACTTACATTCAAAGGTCAGAAAATGAAACAAGTGAACCACACAAAATCATAATCCCCAGGTATGCTGACTATCTCACTTCATTGAGTACATAGTTTCTATTATTTGATTTGATTCTTAAATGTTTAAAAGCAGGAATTGGACTGCATGGTAATTGCCAGTAAAAAAAACAGTAGCGATTGACCTCTCCAAACCACACCAGAGAAACTTTCATCAGAGCAGAGGAATGCAGCAGAAACCTGCTTTACAATGCCATACAGGAGGCAGATAAACAGTAGCTTTATTCAGAGGGAAGACCAAAATAGGGAGTAAGCGACAGATGGAAGATAACTCACAAATGAGTAGGAAGTGTCTTTGCTCAAAACACAAACACACTCCAAATGACAGGTATGGAGTTAGGCACAGATCAGTCATGATCTCATTGAATGGTGGGAATGACCGACTCCTGTTCCTATCTTCTTCTTTTCATCCCAAGAATAAGATGACTCTGCATGACTAGAAAGCAGGAGGCAGTCAAAAGCTGGGTTTATCTAGACTAGATCCGCGGTTGATAATGCTGAAATGTTTTCAAGGCAAGCACGCATATTGCTGCCAATTCCATATGGCTGGTTTGTAGAAGACTAGGTGATCCATACAATTGAAACTACAGATTACATGGTAATGTCCTTGTTGTAAATCTGGGTGAAAGGCCACAGCCAATAGTGTAAAATTTGACCAACATTGGAACTGGGCAAGGAAAGATTGGGTTCAGTCTGACGCCTTTTCATTTGAATAGGTTGTAGTCCCTTAATATGGTCTAACGCGTAAACTAGAATTTTGACAAGGAACAGGAGAGGAAAGGAACAACATATCATTGCCGAGAGTGAAAAACAGTCAACTGTAACTGGAAGACAAGTGTTCTTTGTAATCAATGGGGAATGGAGTTTTCTGTTCAATTGTACTAGTCTTCTTGTTGCAATTTGATCAAAACTGGTGTAACTCAACTCAGAAGTTTGAAATGTTTTAAGCACAAAACCTGTTATGGCAATATTTTGTATTAGTTTTATGAAAAAAAACATGGTCAAGTCAGCCCTGTCCATAAAATTGGCCACATGCAGCAGGTTGAACTAATCGCCATTGGGAGACCTCTGTCAAGGCCCCAGCAATCTCCTCCCTTGCTTCCCTCAGTAAAGCAAGGACATTTCATGATACCTTTTAGGTCTCCTAATTCCTTGTTTAAATTCTTTCCTGCTTCCTTGATATTATCATAGAATCCCTACAGTGTGAAAACAGGCCCTTCGGCCCAACAAGTCCACACCGACCCTCAGAGCATCCCATCCAGACCCATCCCCCTATAACCCACCCAATCTACACATCCCTGAACACTACGGGCAATTTCGCATGGCCAATCCACCTAGCCTTCACATCTTTGGGCTGTGGGAGGAAATCAGAGCACCTGGAGGAAACCCACGCAGACACGGGGAGAATGTGCAAACTTCACAGACAGTCGCCCAAAGGTGGAATTGAAATCGGGTCCCTGGCGCTGTGAGGCAGCAGTGCTAACCACTGAGCCACCATGCCGCCCTAATATATTCCCCAAGGGCCTTATCTGATTTCAGTTTCCTAAACCTTATATATTCTTCCTTTCTCTTTTTGACTAAACTTTCAATATCTGGTGACTAGTGGAGTTTGCAAGGGTATGTTAGTTGGGACCACAAGTCTTCACGCTGTACATTAATGATCTGTATGAGGGAAGGGAGGACATTGTGTCATCTGCAAACATAGCAACAAAGAGAAGGACAGGGTAGTGTTGAGGAAGCAGGGAGGCTGCAGAAGGATTTGGCAGGCTTGGGGAATGGGCAAAGAAATGGCAGATGGAATAGAATGTGGAGAAGTGTGAGGTTATGCACTTTGGTGGGAAGAACAGAGGTATAGACTATTTTCTAAATGGGGAAAGTCTTCAGAAATCTGAAGCGCAAAGGGACTTGAGAGTCCTTGTTCAGGATTCTTTGAAGGTTAACATGCAGGTTCAGCAGCAGTTAGGAAGGCAAATGCAATGCTAACATTGATTTCAAGAGGGCTAGAATACAACAGCAGAAAGTATTGCTGAGGCTGTATAAGGCCCTGGAATACTGTGAACAGTTTTGGGCACCATATCTAAGGAAGGATGTGCTGGCATTAATGGGAGTCCAGGGGAGATTTATAAGAATGGTCCTGGGGATGAAGGTCTTGTCATGCAAGGACTGGTTTAGGACTCTGGGTCTGTATTCGATGAAATTTAGAAGGATGAGGTGGGGGATCTGATTGAAACTTACAGAATACTGAGGCTTCTGGATAGGGTGGACGTGGAGAAAATGTTTCCGCCAGTAGGAGAGACTAGGACCAGAAGGCACAGCCTCAGAGCAAAGGGACAACTCTTTAGAACTGAGATGAGGAAGAATATCTACAGCCAGAGGGTGATTAATTTGTGGAACTCATTGCTGCAGAGGGCTGTAGAGGCTAAGTCGTTGAGTGTATTTAAGACAGAGATAGATCAGTTCTTGATTGGTAAGGGGATCAAAAGTTAGAAGGAGAATGGGGTTGAGAATCATATTGGACATGATTGAATGTTGCAGCAGACTTGATGGGCCGAATGGCCTATTCCTTTGTCTTATGGTCGTATCCAGGATTCCCAAATCTTGCCATCCTTACCTTTCATCCTCACAGGAACATAGTGGTCCTGAACTCTAATCGCCTGGCCTTTAAGTGACACTACATGTCAAATGTGGATTGACCCTCAAACAGCCAACCCCCAATCTAATTTTTCCAGTTCCTGCGTGATACTGCTGTAATTATCTCTCCTCAGTCTAACACTTGCACCCGAGCACCAGTCTTATCCTTATCCGTAGCTATTTTAATTACACATGGTTCCAGATGTTTGTGAAGGCTTCAATCATTGAGCTGTTTTGTCGGACAAAGGGCACAATGGTCCTGTTTTAAATTATTCTTGAATTTAATTTTTTAAATATGTGCTAAGAAACCGACCAACTAAAATAACTGACAAATGTTTCTGCATTTGTTTTAGACACCATTTCAATGAATTAAAATCAGGTTAATTACAGGACTCTGATTAAAAATGCTTATTTTCCGTGATGAATAAATTTGTAGCTGCATTATTCAAAATGCAAGTTATCAGTAAATAAATATGTCAAGAAATATTCCAGAGCGATTATTTTTAAATCACACATGAAACAGCTGGTTCATAACAGATTTCCATAAAAAGTGAGTTTGAGTGGAAACTCTAGAGAGATGAAAAATGCTTCTTCGGACGAGTGCATTTTGTGCCCTGGGTCAACAACTGTGCCAAAAGTGGAAACTCAACCTCAGAGAACACAACGTACACAGAGACAAGGCAAGGCTTTTTTAAGTGATAACTGCTTCTACTTACAAGCATCCGACCAGCATTACTTGCAATGGGGCATGGAGAAACTTGATTCTCTACAAATAAAAGAAAATAAACAAAGTAAAACACAAAGTAAAAATAAGCATTCTTAGAAAATTGGCCTGGACAAGATGTTTTCATTAGATCAAAAATGAGGAAATGATGAGGGATTGATCTCCACAGGTCACCTCGACCTGCAAGTTATTAGACACAAAATGCATTATTGTCCTCAGTGTAGAGTGTGATAGGGTTAGTTAGCTCAGTTGGCTAGTATACTGATGATACTGACAGCGTGGGTTCTATTCCTGCACTGGCTGAGGTTACCATGAAGGATTCTCCTTCTCAATCTTCCCCCCTCACCTAAAACTCTAACGCCATGCATCACCAAAAGGTTCCTTACTTGATAAGTGCTTAACCGCAGGAATTCAATCAATCAGAGCAGTCTGCTTCCACACCAGGGGCAACAAGGAAGGTCATAGATCAAGGAGTTACATCATGGAAACGGGTCATTTAATCCAACCAATCTGCATCAACATTTACTCTCCACACAGTCAAAAACTTCTAATCACATTTATCCACCCCCTTCCCTTCAAGCATCTTTCATTTTTCCACCGAGTCAATGTAATCTTAGAAGTTGATATAGTCGATGCCTCAACCACTAACCCTGGAAGCGAATGTCTCACAACTCTTTCTGATGAAGTCCTTTCTGTCCTCTGTCCAAAATCTCCTACATTAATGTTGTATCTAAGGCCTCTTGTTCTTGGCCCATTAACTACTATAAGAATTTTGGGTGTGTCCTATTCTGTCAAAACTTTAACATAGAAACAGAGAAAACAGGAATTGAACAGTTGAGGGGTCTAGTGTGGACCAACAGCAAATATACTGTGAACCAGTTTGTGTAAGTACCCTCCTATGCAGTAGTGAACCATGACAGCAAGACAAGAAAAGCACAGAATGTAGAAACATAGACAGTAGGAGCCAAAACTGGCCAATTCATCCCTGCTCTGCCATTCAATACAATCATAGCTCAACTCAGTGCCCTATTCTCACTTCCCCTCACCCCTTACCCTTTGATCCCTTTGGCCTAAGAACTATATCTAACTCCTTCTTGAAAACATTCAATGTTTTGAGCTCAACTACTTTCTGTGGCAGAGAATTCCTCAGGCTCCCCACTCTCTGAGTGAAGACATTTCTCCTCATCTCAGTCCTAAATGGCCTACCCTGTATCCTTAGACAGTGACCCCTGACTCTGGACTCCACAGTCCTTGGGAACATCCTTTCTGCAATTATCCTGCCTAGTCTTGTTTGAAAGTCTATCCACCACCTTTCAACACATACGTCTCTCATGAGATAACAGTAAGAATCTAGGAAGGGAGTGTGTTTGGCAGCAAACAGGGAGAGGGAATGAGTTAATTCCAAATGGTAAATAAATCAGGGAGAATCACTCCTCAGGGCGAATATCCCAATACCTCCTTGTGTCAGATAAACAGGTTCTACACTGTTTAGTCCTGCAACAGTAAATTCCACTTCTGGTTCTTGCAAATCTGACAGAAACAACACTAAACTGGCTGGAGTCATCAAGAGCTAAAGAACAAAAAAAGGTTAAAGTGCATCTGAAGTGGGTGCAAAACATGAGGATTCATGCTTTGCACCTTTTACCCAGCAATTCCAATGTTCAGAAGAGCTGAAGCCAATGGAAGTGATCAATGGGGGAAGGAATGAGGAGTACAACAAATATATCATTCACTTTGCATCTTCACTGATGTCTAACTTCAGACCAAAGCATGATTATCTGTCAGGTTTGCTTTGATGTATTTGGCTTAGGTCCAAGGACAAAATAAAAGCAGCTTCACACAGCAGCCTGGGAACAGATCATGAAAGAGTTTATCCACCTTCAATCTGGTGTGTTTAAACCAAGGGCAAGAGATGAAAATAAATTTCAAAACTTTATTTTACATTTCAGAAGTAAACTCTCCTTCTAATCTGTTTGAAGGGATGCCCTTGTCCTTCTGGCTCTCTGATTTTTGTGGTGAATGTCACCTATTTAAAAAATTCATAAACTGATGCTTGGCTTGTTTTCTATTGCACAACACGCCTCTCTTGATATAAATAGTACTGAACATTCAGTTCACTTATCTTGCACACCCCTAAAACTAATCTCTCCTGAATAGAACAGAGCAATTTTCACCAGCCTGTGTTATCTCTATTTAGCTTTATGGAAATTAAGGACATAAGAAAAAGACATTTTTATTCAACCATGGTCAGATCAAGTCTGGAATAGCCAGCTTTTCTGCACTGCATCATTCTGGGAAGATATGTCATCAGCTCTTCCAACAACATGATTAGAATTCTCCAAACATTTTCACAAAGGAAAAATGTTACCTATTTTACCAAATGGGGCCTTTTAAATTGGCTATGATTAGTTGTAGTGGATAGATGGACAATGAGCACCCTGATGAAGGAGGATGCTAGCCAAATTACATGGTTTCCCAATAAACATGCCCAAGCAGCAGATAGCTACAATCAGTGGAGCTAACTGAATGTTGAACCAACATTGCCAAACAGTAGGTTATGAGTTAGGCACAGAGGTGAGGAAGTTTCATAGAGGTGAGGAAGTTTCATGGAGCCTTGGACAACTTTATTGTTAACACAATATCTAGCTCATGTTACCAACAAATAAGGGGAGCATTCAAGCACTGGATACAGTGCAGTGACAAGTAAGGATCCTTAGTTTCCAAGAATTTTGAGGAAAGATGTAAGAAACATTAGCTTTTCACTCTGAAAAGGGGGCCTTTTTTTAAAAAAGAAATATAAATGTATATGTGTTTGTCCAGGAAATGGAGAAGAGAGTTAGCTGAATGTCACTTTAATTTAAACAGGTGCAGACAAACCAAGCTCGAACTGGTAAAATGCAAACTGGGGATTGATATTCAGAAAATATTCCTTCACATAAAAAATTGGGGACAGACTTTCACTTTGAAAAATGGAAGGAAAATCCCCAGAATCAATAAAAAAAATAATTAGTTGCCACAATAGTGGTGGGGAAGTAATCTACGATGTCGCTGAATGTATTAAGATGGGGCTGATGGGCTTAACTCTTCAATCTAGTTTGTAATGTTGAGATGAGGATTTAAAATTGGATATATGGTATAGCCTTGGTTAATAGATGTCAAAAAACCTTTAAAATTGTTTGGGTTATAGTGATGGAGCAGATGAGGAAGCAGGTAAAATATAAAAAGATCCTAGTCCTGATGATTAAGCAACAGTTTGTAATGAAACATAAATAAGAAGGCAGAGACACAAGTAGACAGGATAGTGAAGGCAGTGTTTGGTACGCTTGCCCTTATTGGTCAGTGCATTGAGTATAGGAGTTGGGAGGTCATGTTGCGACTGTACAGGACATTGGTTAGGCCACTTTTGGAATACTGTGCTCAGTTCAGGTCTCCCTGTTATATGAAAGATATTGTGAAACTTGAAAGGGTGCAGAAAAGATTTACAAGGATGTTGCCAGGGTTGGAGGATTTCAACTACAGAGAGTGGATAGGCTGGGGCTATTTTCCCCAGACCGTTGCAGACTGAGAGGTGATCTTATAGATATTTATAAAATCATGAAAGGCATGGATAGGGTGAATAACCAAGGTCTTTTTCTCAGGGTAAGGGAATCCAAAACTAGAGAGGATAGGTTTAAGAGGGAAAATTTTAAAAGGGACCTAAGGGGTAAATTATCATGTATAGAGTGGTGCGTGAATAGAATGAGGGGCCAGAGAAAGTGGTGGAGGCTGGTAAAATTACAATGTTTAAAAGGCATCTGGATGGGTATATAAATAGAAAGGGATTAAAGGGATATGGACCAAATGCTAGCAAATGGGACTAGATTAATTTAGGATATCTGGTCAGCATGGATGAGTTGGACCGAACGGTCTGTTTCCATGCTGTATATCCCCATGACTTGTAGTGAATGATGGGCAAGATGAAAATTGGATTCTGTTCTCTAACACTGTCACTCCAACTCAACATAATCCAATTACTACTGAAGAGTATGGTAACATTGCCTGGTTCGTTTATCCACTGGGGGTCTACTTACACAAACTCCCCCAGTGTTTACAAAGTTGTTGACACCCTGAGCAGCTCTAGGACTGGTGCCACATTAGCGCTTAAATACATATGGCTATAATATTGCTTACACTATGCGGCTAAGGAACAAAGGAGTTGCCATGGCAATGAATATTTCTTTAAAATGTCTTCCCCTTTAGCTCAAGGCATTTTCATCATAAAACTGGGATTTTAGTTTTAGAAACAGGTTCCACTTACTTGCATGAATGGATACCTCTCTAGATGTTCCATCATGATGGGAAGAATAACTGGAAAATAAAAGGAAATCAAGAAAGAAGACATCAATCGACTTTCTTTTTGTCGGAAACTTTGATTACAGGCGATTGATTTGAAATTCTGAAATATGTCTCTCCAGATGCAGCCAGAGCTGATGATGATATTTATTATTTCAGCATTAGCAGCACCATGCTTCTATCTAAACCTTTCTTTGTTCATAGACAGCGGGGGTTTTAATTTGTTCATTCAGCTGCTCTGTGGAATGAGTTTTCAAAGTCTTTGCTCTAACTCCAGTTTATGGATCACCAACAATGAAGAACAATACAAAGTAGACATATGACCAGTACTAAACAATTGTCCAGTTACCTCTCAGTAATACACATCAGTTTTGGAGTTCTCTTACAAAAACACTCCAATGACATGAATTGTAGAACCAAGATTTCCTGCAACTTAGAGAAGTCTGCAATCACTTCAGTTGGTTCTGCCACTTCAAGCCAGCCCGGGCAGCCAATCCGAATCAGCCTGACCTTGCAGATGCACTTCCTGGTTGGTCCAAAGTCCAAGACCTCCAGTGAAATGAATGGCTTGGCCTCAGGATTGATCCTCTTTGGAACTAATATCGAAGTCGAAAGTCACTCGACACCAGGTTATAGTTCCATCAGTTTTAGTTAAAACCACAAGCTTTCAGAGCAGCGCTCCAAATGTTTGTGATAGAACATAGAACATAGAACATTACAGCGCAGTACAGGCCCTTCGGCCCTCGATGTTGCGCCGACCTGTGAAACCAATCTGAA